CACTGTGTTCCAATTTTACTATTCTGCTAGTATTTCATTGCATAAAAATTGTTATGAATAATGACTCATTAATGAGGTTGACAACCTTACACACTCCTTCCTCACAATTGTGGAATGGAAGCTTTGTGTTTTTATGTAGTTACATTAACAATCTACTAACTACTTTACCACTGATTTTGTATTCTTCTCACTTCATGGTCTGTGCAATTTTCGCCAAATATGTGTCCAAAAATGTATTTAAAATATTATTCTTTTTTCAACACTCACCCAAGTCAATGTTAACAGGCTCTAGATGCTATTAGCCTCCATACCAAGATTTCATTTGCAACAGTTGTTTAAATTATTTTTTGATTATAAAGTATTTCATACATTTAAAAAGGGATAGAGACAATTAGCACAGGGAATGCTCGACACTGTTAGTCATCAGAGAAAAGCAAATCAAAACCACAATGAGGTACCATTTCACGCTCAATAGGATGGCTGTAATTAGCAAAGACGGACAATAACAAGTGTTGGTCAGGCTGTGAAGAAATTAGACCCCTCACACATTGCTCGTGAGGATGTAAAACAACGCATCTGCTTTGGAAAACAGTTTGGCAGGTCCTCTAGGTTGCACATAGAATTACCATATGACCTACCTATTGCATTCCTAAGTAATATAAACATATGTTCACATAATAACTTGTATACAAATGCTCATAGCAGCATTATTCCTAACAGTCAAAAGTAGAACAATCCAAATGTTCATCAACTGATGAATGGATAAACAAAATGTAATATACCCCAAAATGGAATATTATTTTGCCATAAAAAGGAATGAAGTGCTGATACATGCCACAACAGAAATGAAACACTGAAAACATCATGCTAAGTGAACAAAAGCCAATCACAAAAGACTACATATGTATGATTCCATTTATATGAAGTGTCCAGAATAGGTCAATCTATAGTGATCAAAAGTAGATTGCTGGTTTCCTAGGGTTGTGAACGGTTGGGAGAAATTGGGAAGTGAATGCTGGTGGATACATGATTTCTTTTTGGGATGATGAAAATGTTGTAAGATTGATCATAGTGATAGTTGCACAACTCTGTGAGTATCCTGAAAACCTTTGAATTTTACAATACAAATTGAGTAATATATATGGAATATGTTATATTTCCGTAGAACTGTTAGGAAATAAATAAAATGAATAATTTTTAAAACCCTAAATAATTACATAGGCAATATGTAGTAGACACTCATTAAAATATCTCCAACATTTAAAACTATGTTTGCCAGGCCGGGCGCAGTGGCTCATGCCTGTAATCCCAACACTTTGGGAGGCCAAGGTAGGAGGATCTCTTGAAGTCAGGAGTTCGAGACCAGCCTGGCCAATATGGCAAAGCCCCATCTGTACTAAAGATACAAAAATCAGTCAAGTGTGTTGGTACGTGCCTGTAATCCCAGCTATTCGGGAGCCTGAGGCAGGAGAATAACTTGAACCCTGGAGGCGGAGGTTACAGTGAGCTGAGATCATACCACTTCACTCCAGCCTGCAGGACAGAGTGAGACTCTGTCTAAAAATATATATTTATATAATATATATACTTTAATATATATGTTTGCCAATTTTGCACCAGATTTTTTTAAGAAACAAAAAGTTACGAAATAAGTTGAAATCCCCTATCTTCACTTTGCCCATTTTGCCTAGAAAGAGCAACTATCATAAAGTTGGTGCACATCATTTCCATCTATATTTTTGTCCTTTTCATGTGTGTTATTATTTTTCAGATGGAGTCTTGCTGTATAAACCAGGTTGGTCTTGAACTCCTGGGCTCCAGGAATCCTCCCACTTCAGCCTCCTGAGGAGCTAAGACTACAGGCATGCATCACTGCACCCAGTCCATATTTTTGTCCTTTTACTACTTATATGTATGTCTATAAATAAAACATGAGTCTATTTGGAATGTTTTTTACATTTTACATAAATGGCATAATGAAAAAAAAAGACTTCACAGCTTGATTTTTACACATTGTGTGGTGTTTTAAAAGTTTAAATCTGTCCATATAAACATATGTAGATCTAGTTTATATACTTAAATTCTGTATAGTATTCCATTGTGCTAAAATAACACAATTAATATCTATTGTTCTAGTGGTGAAAATATAAGTTGTTTCCAAATTTTCATCACTACAAAAAATACTGGGAAAAAAACATTTCTTGAATATGTTTCTGTGGGCATGTCTACATATATTTATCTAGGGGTATATACCTGAAGTTGGAAGTTTCTAGGTTATAGGTTATGATCAGTTTAAATAAAGTACAGTATAAGCTTATTTTCAAATCTTATACCAAATTGCATCCTTGCTGGCAGTGGTTGAAATATTGAAATATTATTACCTCCAACCCCTGATCATCATTTAAAATTATCATTTCAAATTTTTTGTCAATTTGATGGTAATGAAATAATATCTCATTGCATTTTAATTTTATTTTCTTGAATTATGGTGAGATCAAACTTTTTTTTCATGTGTTTGTTGCTATTTAGGTGTTGCTTCTGTGAATGTTTTTCTTTTCCTTTGCAAGGACTGTTTATATAGTCTGGATAATAATCCTCTGTTAGTTATACATATTTCAAAAATCTTTCCCAATTTTGGCTTGTATTTTAAAATTTTAAATAGCATTGTTGTCAGATGCAAATTTTAAATTTTTGTATCATTAAATTTAACCATCTCTGTCCTAATGGCCAGGAATTTTAGTGATATGAGCATATTCTGCTATATTTTTTCTAAACATTGTAAGGTTTTGGTTGTCATATATGGATGTTAATCCACCTGAAATTTATTTTTTGTATTGTATAAAATAGATAAATACTTTTACCCTTTTCCTCAAATCGCTACTTGTCCCACAGCCCTTGCCCTACTGATTTATAAGTGTTGTATATCAAGTTTCCTGTATAGATTTTTGTGTTTCTGAATTATTTATTCTTTCCCCTTAGTCTATTTGTCTTGCCTTATGTTAATAAAGTGCTGTTTTAATTGCCATACCATATAAGTCTTGCTATCTTGTTTTTTCTTGTACCCTATCAGCATTGACCAATCACAGAATCAGAATAAACTTTAGAAGCAGTATACTTAGGGAAATAAATTTCTCAAAATGATAGAAAGTTGGCACTGGCTCTGGAATGCTATTTGGAATAATTTGCAGTGGTACCTGTTAGTGATATGTGCAACTATCTGAAAATGTTTTTAATCACAGCCAACTGCTGTTATTTTAGTTTATAAAGATAACTGTCTTTCAACTTTGAATACTGCATCTATTAAATAGAAGAGTTTTCATCTGAAGTTGTATAGAATACCATTAAAACACTAGCACTATAAGAAACACATAGAACCTTTTTTAAGCTTCTTATACATAATATAACACTATGTGTCCATGAGAAAATCATTTTAAAGGCAAGATAACTAAATTCTGGAATAGTAAGGCATGTTAATCATAATATGAAATCTGTCATGCATAGCAGACATTTATATATATTCTGTCTTTAAGTTTTACTGCCAAAAAGTGTTGAATATAAGGAAACATACTGATAGAAAAAAATAAGAACATGAAAAAGGTCTTACTACAGTAGGAGTTAGCACTAACTAGCAACATTTCTAACCCTCAGCTTTCATAATGCCTGTTCGGATATTTCATCTGAATAGAACACCACAAATTAAAGCACGACATTTCTCAGATGATTTGCCCCCCTATCAGTTTCCCCTCTTCAGCTTCTTTATTTCTGTCATGTGTACCCTTGTCTTTACAGTTTCTCAATTATAAAAGCTTGGTGTTATCTTTTATTTATTTTACCTCCGTATGGTAAAATAATGGTAGGCAGAATGGTCTACGGTCTATGGTAGGCAGAATAATGGCTTCCTCCCTTTCCCCCAAAGATGTCTATGTCCTAATTTCTGAAACCTATGAATATGCTACATTATAACCAAGGGGGGTATTATGGTTGCTAATAAACTGACCTTAAGGTTAAAAATGTATCCTAGATTGTACGGGAGGGCCCACCGTAATCACCAGCATCCTTTAAGTATGAAGATGGAGATGGAAGAGTCAAGGTCAGAGTGATGCAGCCCCAGAAAGACTCAAAAGGAAATTTCTGGCTTTGAAGATGATAGAGATTCAGGAGCCAAGGAATGCAGGCAACCTCCAGAACCTGGAAAAGGCAAGAAAACAGATCTCCTACATTACCCGGCAGGAAGGTAGCCCTATTGAAATCTTGATTTTAGCCCAGTGGAACCAATTTCAGGCCTCTGACCTTTCAGGATGGTAAGATAATAAACTTGTGCTGCTCTAACCCATCTACTCTGTGGTCATTTGGTAGAGCAGCAATAGGAAACGAATACACAATTCAATTACCAATCATATCTTCATTGATTCTTTTTTTTTTTTTTTTGAGACAGGGTCTTGCTCTGTCGCCCAGGCTAGAGCCATCTTGGCTCACCGCAGCCTTGACCTCCTGGATTCAAGCAATCCTCCCACCTCAGTCTCCCAAGTAGCTGGGACTACATGCACAGGCCACCACACCTGGCTAAATTTTTTGGATTTTTTGTAGAGACAGGGTTTCTCCATGTTGCCCGGACTGGTCTTGAACTCCTGAGCTCAAGCCACCTACACACTTCAGCCTCCCAAAGTGCTGGGATTACAGGCGTGAGCCAACATGCCTGGCTGATCGATTCTTATGTTCTACTTCCTCTCAAATGGCTTTCTAATCGGGATAAAATGTCAGGCCCCACTTCTGGCCTTCCTTTGTTAGCTTCTGGATGTTGCCATAGATTCTTAACAAAGATATAGGGCAGTGGTTTCCAACCTTTTTGGCACCAGGGATGGGTTTCATTGAAGACAATTTTTTTACAGACCCAGGGGGTGGGGTATAGTTTGGAATGATTTAAGTGCATTACATTTATTGTGTGCTTTATTTATATTATTATCACATTGTAATATATAATGACATAATTATACAACTCACCATAAGGCACAATCAGTTGGAGTCCTGGACTTGTTTTCCTGCAACTAGACAGTCCTATATGGGGGTGATGGGAGACAGTGATAGATCATCAGGCATTTGATTCTCATAAGGAGTGTGGAACCTAGATCCTAGATCCCTCCCATGTAGAATTTACAATAGAATTTGCACTCCTATGGGAATCTAATGCTAGGGCTGATCTGACAGGAGGTGGAGCTCAGGTGGTAATGGGAGGTATGGGGAGCAGCTGTAAAAACAAATGAAGCTTCACTCACTCACTCACTGCTCACCTCCTGCTGTGTGGCCCAGTTCCTACCAGACCAGAGACCGGTACCAATCTGTGGCCTGGGGGTTTGGGACCCCTGATATAGGGGATCTAGTCCTAAACTGTGAGTCAGGTCTAGCCTATTTCTGCTGTTAATTAGCTTGTGACCTTAGGCAACCTCTCTGCTAAATTTCCTTGCTCTCCACCCCTAATACACACACACACACACACACACACACCAGACACCAGAAATTGAGTGAGTTGACTAAGAAGATTATTACATTTCTTTTTAGTTCTGCTTAGTATCATTTTGTAGTCTGTCTCTTGCTTCCTCGCATCTTCTATACATCAATCCAGAATTCTTCTTAAAACCTGTTTGATATAAATTAAATTCTTATGTAGAAGCATGCATTGACTTTTCACTGCTTAGAGATTAAATAAGTCCCTATTAGAGACCTCTAACCACCTGCCCACTCCCCATCTCTCTCCAACAGTTTTTCTTTTCCAGGGTTCACTACTCACTGCAGCAAAACAGGTCTCATTCATCCCTGAGACATGATCTGTTCAGGCTCTTCCTCCTTCCTGAAATACCCATCACGTCTATATCTAGTTATCAGAGTCCTGCTCTTTCTGTAAAAGACCCAGCAACTACCACTCCCCTGGGACTGTTCCTCCCCCACAATTGCTGCCTACACTGTGTTTCTCAAACCAAATTATCATGAGAACTTACAAATGATCTAAGTTTTCCAACTCAACACTGAAGATTGAAGATGGTAGAGAGATGACAGAAGAGGGATAAAAAAAAAGAGAAACTAGTTCAAAAGAGTAAGGCTTTGCCTTTCAAGTCTCCGGAAGGAGTGGGGGAACAAATGTGTTTGGAACTGATCTAATATGACTTGCGTTATTATTTCTTTATCAGTATGTCTTGTCTCCCAAGGTATAAGCCCTTAATGATGGAGTCATTTCTAATATTTCCTTTTTATCCTTGTCATTTTAAAAAAAAAGACGTCTTACCAACAAAAACTACTTACTTGTTTGCTCAGTGTTGTAATACATAAATGGCAATGACATTAATACACCAAATCCAGTTTTAGTTTCCACAATTCATGAGGATACAAAATGCTTAATGAGCTCATCAGCCAAGTATTTGTTAAACTTCTGCTTGTGTATAGTACATGTTAGCAAAATAATCCCCAGCACTGGACGGTGTGGACTCTCAATCCCCCTCATTCCTGGGCCTCCGAATCCCACGTTTTCAGCAGCACTTTTTGGTAGGTGCCAAATGTAACTCATAGTTATCTAACCCCTCTTGAATGTCTCTGGTTTCTGGGAGGGAGTTCCTCCTACCAGTGGTCCAAAGCCTACTTCATTCCAAGCTGTGTAGTCACAGTCATATTGCCAGGGCAGTCAGCTTCATCCAGTGGAGCAACACAGAGGCCTCGAATGAATCCAAGATGTGGCTCACTGTCCAAAAGCAAGGGTAATTTCTTAAGAAACTGGGCATCTATGAAAGGTGGCATAAAAATTAATTCCATTCTGCAACTTTATGAGAAATTTTTAGATTTCCTCAATTTAGTTAACTCATAATAGTACTTAGTCAGATTCTTTGCTTGAAACTTTCTGTCCAAACCATCTATTCAGCCAATATTTGCAGGCCTGACTAGAGCATTATCTTCGTGGGAGCTCTCTCCAACTTTGCCATTTTATTCTAAAACCAGAAGAACTTCTGTATGATCCATTTACATTGCAATACTCCAAGATGCTAATAGCTGAGTGGTCATGATGAAGGTGAGCTCTTGGCTCAAGTCTGGGGTAATAAGTTTAATCCAAAGTGAACCTGAGGACTTGGTCTGAAATCCCAGACACTGTGTCAGCACATATCCGTCCTTGAGAATCGAACACAGTACTATTTTAAAATTGTTTCATATAGCTAAGTATTTCACTTTTCCTATTTGTTCTCTTCCTAGTCAGCTCTCTTCCAGGTTTTTCTTTTTTCTTTTTTTGTTTCCCACACTTAAGTTCATTTCTACACACATATTGTACCAACTGTCAGTAGCATACAAATGCCTCCTTCTTTGGCTTGTCAGTGACATAAATTTTCTCTAATATAACCTGACAAGGGCATTGTATTAGAAATGTCATTTATTTCTCTCGTTTAGTCATAGATTTTAAGTCTCTTTCAAAGACTGTATCTTTCTCATAGAAATTCCTTTGCCTACACAATATTTTTGTTTCCCACACAGAACATATATTTATATGTGACATAATGAAGCTGGCAAGGAAATGACTCTTTCAGCTTTTTAAAACCACAGTAGTAGCTTGGAGCTAATATACAATGGGCTAGTTATTTCTATCATACATACATACAGATACATGTATTACACTACCATCTTTAAAGCATGTATCATGTACATTCTCATTCACATACACAGCCATGCATATAAATTAACGGTTGCTACACAGCCACAATCTCTCACATTTCCATATTCTTCCAATCTTTCTCCCTCTCTTCTACTTCTTAACTATGTTCATCATAACCAAGACTGTAACATACTGGGTAAACTGGCTATCATGCCCAATATATCTGGAAAAACATTTAGATACACTGCTTTATAGAATGAACACAGCTGGAATCCAGAGAACAGTGTAAATTTTTAAAAAATTTTTATATTATACTATCTTACTTGAGGCTATAGAATAAACCTTGCATGGTTACCTTCAAGTCTTCTCTTTTCTGAGAATCCTCAATTCTTTTCTTTTCTATCTTTCAGCAGTTGGTGCTAAAAATGGTGGGTTGCCACCACCCCATAATGTGCTAGCTCTCTCTTGGGAGAGCACAGGTGAATTGAGGGCTCCTTACAATCCTTCATGGACATAGGCTGGGACAGCTCAGAATCTTCAGAGTCAAGCAACTGTAAGACAAACAAATATTTTCCTTTCTAATATTGGTCACCACTCATGGCAAAATTTCATTGCACGATCATGCTTTAAAGAACTAGACCTCATGATGGAAAGAAATTATTTTCCCTTACCCCTTAGCTATTGCATTCACCCTCCTTTCCACCCACCGACCCACCCTCCCGGGACTATTGACTGATGTAATAATTCCAGAAGATTGTCTCTCTCACAGAATGACTAAAGCATCCTTACCTTCATAGAATGACAAGTAAAGTGATGTTCTTGGAATTTCTGCTTGAATTTGGTGACCTGGGCCCTCTTATTGAGAGATCAGATTCCAGGGTGAGAGTAACAGGCCAACTAGCCAAGAAAGAAAGCTATTTGTTTTTCTTTCGAACTATGAAAAGACCCTGCTTGTGAGTATATTTTAGAAAGAAGAAAGGAAGGATAAAAAAAAAAGAAAGCAAGGATATCTCTGGAACTTTGTCCTGTTTTCTGCAACAAAATGTGAATGAATAGTTCAAAGAGTGAAAACGTTTAGTGATGGCTGATGTCTCTCAGGGATAAGCTGGATCCGCAATGTTTTGAAGATGCTTTGAGTCCAAAAATTGATAATCAGAAAAGCACTTTTTGTTTGCTTAATGTATCCCTGTTCTGATTTCAACTAAACTCCAAATTTTGTTTTAAAACAATAGATGAAGAAGACAGACAGTCCTCTTCTGCCACACACATGTAACATCTAGCTGTACATAGCAGACACAGATGCCCAGAGAGTCTTGAAGTCTAGCTCAGGGTGACCCAGGTTATATCACGGCCTGGGCAAAATTGTGACTTGCCGGAGTCTTCAGGTCTACGTGGGGCAGTTGCTTTATGCAATTGCTTTGGGTAAGAGTAACTGACTATCCAGAATGGATGGTCAGGATTTAAGGAAATTGTCTGGGAATGTCTTGAGAAAGTCAGTCCAGCCTTTGGGACAGCAATATAGCTCCTGGGAGTAGGCAAAATCTGACCAATGCATGAGACTTAACAAGGAAGATGTACATAACAATGGAAGATGGAGAAACAGTGAATATAAAACTAAAATTGGGGAAGAGGCCAATGCAAGCTTCAAGGTCATGTTGACATAGTTGAGGAGGAGTAAAACATCCCTGGATGAAATCTCTTAATCAGCAAGAATCCTTCTAATTTCAAAATGTGGCCGGGCGCGGTGGCTCAAGCCTGTAATCCCAGCACTTTGGGAGGCCGAGACGAGTGGATCACGAGGTCAGGAGATCGAGACCATCCTGGCTAACATGGTGAAACCCTGTCTCTACTAAAAAATACAAAAAACCTAGCCGGGCGAGGTGGCGGTCGCCTGTAGTCCCAACTACTCGGGAGGCTGAGGTAAGAGAATGGCGTAAACCCGGGAGGCGGAGCTTGCAGTGAGCCGAGGTTGCGCCACTGCACTCCAGCCTGGGCGACAGAACGAGACTCTGTCTCAAAAAAAAAAAAAAAAAAAAAAGTAAGCTCTTTAAGGGCAAGAACCTATGACTTTTGTTGGGAAAGGCAACCTGCTCACAGGCCCTAAGAGTCCCTGTCCAGTCTTGCTGGATATACCAAGAATGCAAGGCTCTCACTGGTCTTCACTCGGGCCTTTCTTCAGGATTATGTTTGTAGCAAGTGACAACCTTGGAGGGATAAGGTAGTATCTTCTCCTAGACAAAGAATGGACTTGTTACCCTGCACTCTGAAAGTTCTCTAAGCACAGTGTTCCCCTCTCTAACGAGTGTGGAGGCATCTGTACAGGCCCCCCTGTGTCATCCCCATGCAATTTGGGGGTTGTGGAAAATTGATAGAAGAAAATGTGAAGATCATGCTGCCTGTTGCATCATAAGTAATAGAGTCCTTTACCTCCGATTCAAGAGTCTCGTACCTTTTCCCAGGTCCATGATAGAGTAACAGGCTAGCCTATTAGCTTGAAAGTAGAGTAAAATCTCAGACTGTCTATAGTTCCTAACAGCTATATCCCCAGCACCTAGAAAAGTAAAATCACATGGCATCCTATTTATTAGTGGTTAAAAGTTCATGCTAGGTGTTCACTGCTCAAATTTAATTAAATCAAATTAATGGGATTTCCATTAAGAAATGTTTCTAATAATTTCTGAATATTTGCCAAATCATATATTAAACAGTTACCAAAAAAATATTTGGGAAAGAGCATCAGCATTTTAATTGCATTACATATAATGTTTTTAATTCATTTGTTTAATCCTAAAGATAGCCATTTTATGAAGATAATAAATACCAATAATAAGGACATTTAAAAAATCTTTCATTATTAATTTTTCAGTGTACTCAGACCAGAATCCACATTGAGAAGCCTTGGAAAAATAAGTAACTCCATTTCCCCCTCTGGTCTAACTAGAAGACATTGATTCAAGTTCCTCTGAGTTCCATTAAGATTTCAGAGGTAATCCTCTCCCTTGTGTCTACAATTGATTTATTAATAAAATGACCTCTGATTAGTTATACCTTTCAACAGAATGTTTTTCCACTTACACAATAAAGAATTAAACAGTTTAGACTTGAACTAACATTTGCAGGACATGTGTTGTGTACCCATCTGTATGCGATGCACTTTCACATAAACAGTGATACAAAATCTTTTGGCAACACATAGCCAGTGGTAAGTCCCTGTAACTGGCTCATTGTATTTTTTTTTTCAGTATGTTGTAATCCTTTTTGTATGTGGGTTCCACACCTTTCTAAATACTTAGTAATTTAAAGGAAAGGCAACCTTTTATTTCCTGGTGAGAGGTTATGGAATTTGTTTTAACCGAAATGGAGAACTTCCTTTTCATTTCAAGTAATGTGACACTGTAAGCTGCTAGCATGGCCACAAGTAACACTGAAACAAAACTTCAGGCCAAATGGATCAGCAGTGTTTAATTCAAATCTTTAAGAATGGCGACTGCCTTGAAAGGATCTTCCTGAATAATCTCTTCCAGATGTCTAAAACTATGTTGTAGATGAAAAGCAGTTTTTTGTTTGTTTGTTTGTTTGTTTGTTTTTGAGATGGAATCTCGCTCTGTTGCCAGACTGGAGTGCAGTGGTGCGATCTTGGCTTACTACAGTCTCTGTCTCCCGGGTTCAAGTGATTCTCCTGCCTCAGCCTCCCGAGTAGCTGGGATTACAGGCACACGTCACCACACCCAGCTAATTTTTGTATTTTTAGTAGAGATGGGTTTTCGCCATGTTGGTCAGGATGATCTCAATCTCCTGACCTGGTGATCCGCCCACCTTGGCCTCCCAAAGTGCTGGGATTATAGGCATGAGCCACCACTCCCGGCCCGAAAAGTACTTTTTGACAAAGAGAGAATAAAATAAGACCCTCTAGATAACCTCCTCACACTGTTTTACCACCACTCTCTCAAAACCATTTATTCACAGAGAATTCTGGAGTTTTGGGATTTGGACATATTGCAGGGTTCCCCAAACCCCAGGCCGCGGACCACTAGCTGTCAGTAGTCTGTTAGTAACCGGGCCACACAGCAGGAGGTGAGCAGCAGGTGAAAGGGCATTACTACCTGAGCTCTGCCTCCTGTCAGATCAGCAACAGCATTAGATACTCAGAGGGGTGCAAGCTCTATTGTGAACTGCGAGGGACCTAGGTTGTGCACTCATTATGGGAATCTAACTAATGCTTGATGATCTGAGGTGGAACAGTTTCATCCCAAAACCATTCCCCCAACCCCATCCATGGAAAAACTGTCTTCCATGAATCCCGTATCTGGTGCCAAAAAGGTTGAGGATTACTGCTTTACTGGCCATTAAAATCTCATCTTTATAAATGAATGTCAAAGAAACCATTAACATTATTCAGATCATTACAATGGGCTAAAAATATAGTTCCACTGGAAGAAAAAGAAACAAAGAGTTGTAAGTTTTCCTGGTAGGTGTTTCACCTAATAACAACGCAAGGCTTCCTAAAATGTACATATATTTCCTATGTCGTCACATAGCCAGGATGACAAACATTATGCAGATTTGCCTCACTGAAGCTCTGAAACAGAATGTTTAAACACGAACAGTGATCTTATGACAGGCAAGAAAGGTTGTCTTTCTTTTGTCTTCATTTTTTTAAGTATCGTATATCATTGCTAGTCACACCAACTTTCTTGAATATTCTTTCTTTCTCTTTTTTTTTTTTTTTTTTGAGACAGAGTCTCACTCTGTTGCCTAGGCTGGAGTGCAGTGGCGTGATTTCGGCTCACTGCAACCTCCACCTGCCGTGTTCAAGTGATTTGCCTGCCTCAGTCTCCAGAGTAGCTGTGACTACAGGTGTCTGCCACCACGCCCGGTTAATTTTAATTTTTTTATTTTTTAGTAGAAACTGGGTTTCACCATATTGGCCAAGCTAGTCTTGAACTTCTGACCTTGTGATCCACCTGCCTCGGTCTTCCAAAGTGCTGGGATTATAGCCATGAGCCACTGTGCCCGGCCTTGAGTATTCTTTCTATACTGTCACCACAATTGGAAGACTGAAGATCCTTAATGGTACAAGCTATTGCTTACTCTTCAAGTATATTTGTATCATTGTGCCTAGCTCAGTGCTTGGAACATTGTAATTATTAATAAATGTTGGTTGAATAAATAAATTTATATACCCCTATATTCAACCCTCAACTTATTACCTTTTTATCTCTACAGACACTTTTTTGGATTCCTCCTACATGTGAATTTCATCCAAATATGTATGTCATCCTTCTACTCCCTCTCCTTCTTGGGCTTTTCAACTCCAACTGATTGCTGGATATTTCTCTCTCGATGCTCTGTGTATTGAATCCGTTCTCACATTGCTATAAAGAAATAACTGAGACTGGGTAATTTATAAAGAAAATAGGTTTAATTGGCTCATGGTTGTGCAGAATGTGTAGGAAGCATGATGCTGGCGTCTGCTCAGCTTCTGGGGAGGCCTCAGGAAACTTACAATCATGACAGAAGAGGGAGCAGGCACATCACATGGCCAGGGCAG